GTATAATTGTTGATGGCCAGACGTTTATTGGTGCATATTTCCTAAAGTACATATTTCCTTGTCTCTTGATGTGTTCAAACTAGAAGAAGGATTTCACCTAACTTAAATTAAAACAAGTTATGGGCTCAGTCCACGTGTTGCCACGTGTGAACTGTGAACAGGTTAGGTTCGTACTTCATTCAGTTTTGTTTTTTGTGATTATCGGTGAATAAAATATGGCGACCAGCAATACCGATTATAAAATGAAGTTGACAAACTCGAGGGTCCTGTAGACTGGGCAAAGTGGAAATGGCATGTTTCGATGTTATTACGTTCGTATGCACTTGAAGACATTGTAAACGTTATGTGTAAGTATCCTGAGGTTAGTGACGATTCAACTTCAGTGGAAATGCGGAAGCATCAGCAATGGTTAAAAGACACGCACGTATATAGCAGTGCGCAACGGTTAAACATGTTAATTGAAGCCTTTTTTACTTAAGACTTAAGTTATACTTAAGTCTTAACTTAAATTACTAAAAGATGAGAAAGTGAAAATTTCTGAGTGTTGTTTTGCACTTTTATTTGGAACTATTTTGGTACTCGAAATTTTTAGTTACAATTTTGGCAGGAAAAGGAGCTAGCTTTTTAGTACTGACTTCAAGACTGAGTTTTAACAGTTCTTGACGTTCCAGGCTGAGGTTCAACTCGGTGGTTTGATTTCAAATTGGCAATATTAGATGGAGTCTTGGGCATAGTTTTATCACACCCTGATGGTCGCGGTTGAGGTTCAGTATTTTAAGGTGGAATTCTCTGCATAGTTTCATCACCTCTCGATAGTTCCAGTTGGGGTTCGGTGGAGTTCTTTGCAAAGTTTCGTCACACCATCTTTGGTATTATCAATTTCATTTAAGTTCATTACAATGACTATATCTGACACTTTAGTGTGATATACTCAGCTGAAATTATCTTTATAGAATTTATTAAGATCCTTGGGTCATATTTTAGCAGTACGGAACCCGGATATTTCTTTGTCCATCGTGGCAAATCCCCGATATGTTCTGTTAAAAATGGAAGCAAGTTCAAAATGCTTGATCTTTTCATAAGTATGAGTTCTCAGATACAAGTTGCACTCACAGTTTAAAGTATTCTTAGACGTCCAAAAAAAGTTAGGTCAAAAGGTTGAAGCATTTGTGAGGTATGAGAAGAAAGTGAAACCATAACAATTTTGTGATCTGCAGTAAGTATAAATCTACCAAGAAATGTGACTATCATGATTATTCAATATGAGAAGCACTGAATCTTCTTTCAATGCTTTTATATGCTGATAAAAATGATTTATGCAGTCGAAACTCTTCATTTATCCAACCGTTTTTTGAACATCTGTTTATTGCTCGAATTAGACATCCTCTCATTAATTGTGGATTCATACGTATTCGCGGGAATATAAACATTAGAGAGACAAACTGTATCGAAGCATTTCCAGTGCATACTATGGTAACATTTTTCCCTCCTTACCCAAGATATTACGGATCCCACTTAAATTCGACTCTCAAGAAATTTGAACTTTTCTATAACTGTGAGCAGATTGTTAAAAAACTCGTTCAACCTCTAATGTCTGGATGATGCTTTAAAAAGAGTTCTAACCAATCTTCACCAGCGATTTTCTTTATAGTGTCGAAACGGTATTTTATTTTATTCACTTTAGCAAGCTGGTACACTAAACGCCTTAGTTCTGCTGCAGTGCTTCTTAAAAACATATTCGCCAATTTTTTAACAAGGTTGGCTATGGTGAATTTCTGTTCATCATTAAAAATTGGTGTCCTGGCCCAAGTTATATTTTTTATGGCTATTCGACTTTAGTTTGTCACGTAAAGTGGATTCTGGAATATTGAAGGATTTACCTACTTCTCGTATTTTTTGCCCATCGTATAGCAGTGATAACAGTTTTAGTTCACCTTCTGTCCATTTTAATCTTTCGGTTTTCCGAACGTAAGCACAGGGCATTTTGAAATATAAAAAGCAATACAAATATTTTATCAGCAAAAATTTCACACGGGGTAAAACCGAGCAGCGCGAAATTGCCCCGACACAGCTGCGCGTTATTCCCCCTAGGTGAGTAACCTAACTGAACTTGTCACTGTTTGTTAATAACTAAATAATATGCATTGTTTTTGTACTTGAAATTATCTATACATATAAAGCAAAATAATTATGGAAATGTTTTATTGAATATTAATAACAAAAGCACTCATCACTTTTTAAAGATTATTTGAAAATTACATCAACGTCTTGAAAAACAAACAATGGGCAACCTCTTCTAAACCAAAATTACGAAAACAGTCATATTACAAACATGTGGTCGGCTGGCAAATACGAAATTGAAATATATTGAATTATAATTTAAACGATTATTGAAATACTTATGCCGTGTTGCCGATTTCCCCTACTACAAATAAGCAGGAAAGGCTGGATTAAACTTTTTATTAAAAAACAGCTTATTTTTAATAAACAGCTTCTCTAAGAGACTAAATCGAAGGTAGACATGGATAAGTCCTGATAGAAAAACAAAGAGTGAAATAGATTTTATCATAATAGATAACAAATCCTTAGTACACAACATAAGGATTCGAAAGAAAGTAGACATTGGAAACGATCATCGGATTGTAAGAACAATAATAAAAATCAGCGTAGGTGACGAAAGATGCAGATCAACAGAAAACAGAAAAAAGCAAGTATATGGCAAAACACAGAAAATCTCGGCGAATACCAGAAAATAATCACAAAGTCACTAGACGAAAATACATAGACGGACAGCAATGAAAAACTCAATAAACAAATTATTAAATCCAAACTTGAAGTAACTAATAAGTTACTGTTATGTTATATAAACAAAAAAGAGATTTTAAATTGAGCCAACATACTCAACTTCTAATGAACAATCAAAAAGGACATCAAGAAAACTTAAACAAGACGTGAAAAAACCAAATATTTTAAAAAATATAAATATATATTTACAAAATTAAAGTCTTCGGTAAAAAAGTTTCATATTGTAACATTTTTTTTCTGTATCTTTTTTAGTTGTAGAGTTATTTTTAAAAAAGGAGATTTTTGAAAAATTTCGAATAGTTTCTTCACTTTTTTCTCGGATTTTTTCAACACTAATCCTTTTAAACCAGTAAAACTTCCAGAATATAATGCTTGTACCTATATAATACATTTAAAATAAAACGAATAGTTTCAACCAGAGTGGTCCTTAAACCAAAAAATATAAGCGAATTTTATTTTTGTTATAACTTACCTTAATTTTCATGCAAATAACTTTTACTATGTAGTTATTTTAAAGAGCTTTAAAAAAGTTTTTTATAAGTTTTGTATGAAAAACTTAGGTACCGTTTTGCGGTGATTCAACATATGTTTGGATTTTTGTATTCGTTGAATAAAAGTCTAATTTCGAACAGCCATAATTTTGGTAATATTAAGTTTACGGTATTAATAAAAAACAATTATCTTTGTTTTTTTAAGCTTCATTTTATATCCAAATAGTTTTCCCGATAAAATTAAAATTTTTGGAGTTATTCGAGAAAAACCGTTTAAAAACATGTTTCTTTACATGTATTTTGTCAACTTTCAGTCATGAATATTTCCAAAAATATTGACTTACATTTTTGTCTTAAAATTCACATTCTAGCCAATGCCGTGGAAAAGCACACATTGCCTTTGGGTAAATTTTGATTATTTTTTAACTAGTATCAAAATTTCAAGCAACTCGATACATATAAAAAAAACTTCAGAGGTTTTCTATTATTCTTACATCATATCCTGGACTATATGAGATGCATAGATTGTCTTTGTCCTTGCCAAATATGTTATGTAAGGTGTTCATTCTTAAAAAAATATCACTGACTCACTGAGCAACAGTGAAATGATGTTCTTGCTTATATGTCGTCGAATAGTTCACAACTCTGCCTAACACTCTTTTCAATCACTAATACTTTTGAAAATTTGTTTTCCTCTTTTAGTGAAGTTTTCTGGTTATCATGGAAGTTGCTATAATTTCAGTATCTCCCATAAGTTTTTCGTACTGAGGAATTTTATAAGTCGGTAACGTTTTATGTTAATAAAGGCTTCGTAATAGTCTAAGAAAGGACTCTATAGGTTTATTCATATCCATGCATCTTTGTATAAGTACGTTTATGGACGAGATTGATTATTGCCGTTATGGATTGTTTTGAGGGTATGATTCATTAAACTTACTGTTCGATGTTCTTGACATTCGTTTGTATTTGGTATTTTTTTATCATGCAATGAAAGTAGATGTCAGCCAATCTTTAGGAATTTATAGTTGAGACCTTCAGTCTCCGAAAAGTTACTGGATATACTATTGCTATATTGTTAATATTTCTTGACGATGTATGAAATGATTGTTTTGCAAACAATTATTCCCAGTAGTCAATTTTTGCTGGTTCAATTAATAATAGATTAACTATACATTTATATGAACCTTCTTTTCAACTAAACACTACTAGTGCACCATGAGTAAAACTTTATAAAATCTTAAGTATAAGTAAACGCAGTCCCTAATGTCTCTTAATAAACTTCGTGCGTAGACAATACGAAAACTAATACTTCCCCTTCTCGGCCACATCTCATTTTTTTCTCTTCATACTTTTTACGGCTAGAATAGCTTTTGTATCCTTTACCTTAGTTCTTTATAGACAGTTAAAAACGTTTGCTTAGCAAGAATGATTGTCAAAAATAGAAAAGACAACCGACTTAAATCCTGAAAGTTCGTTATATTATTGGATAGATAAATGACAAAATCTTTTAATATTTTTTTATTATAGAAGAATATAAACTAACATTAATATTTTAACAACATAAAAAAATAGTTTGAATATATAATATTCGTCAAAAATTCAGAATTGTTAGCTTTAAATCCAGGAAATTCGTTATATTATTGGGTAGATAAATGATAAAATCTTTCAATATTTCTGTATTATACCAGAATATAAACTAACATTAATATTTTAAAAACAAAAAAAAAAGTTTGAATATATAATATTCATCAAAAATTCAAAAATTTTAGCTTTTATACTTTAGCACCAGATATAAAAGCTTTGGCAACTTGAGATTCTTTTTCTTTATATTGTTTAAACGAATTTTCCAACTCAACTAGTTCCTGTAAAATTTCTTTATTTTTGGGTTCTAATTTCAGTGCTTCATTTAATCTTTTCTTGGATAAATGATAATCTCCCAACATTCTTAAGCATTTAGCACTATTGTAGTACATTTTTGCTGAAATTTTTAGATCAGTTCCTTTTACCAATTCATTAATTCTGTTAAAATTAATGCACGCTTTTTTATAATCTTCTGTTTTAGTGCAAGCAACTAGTAAATTAGAGTATAACTTTAACAATAACTCCTGTTGTTTGACTTGGTCTTCATAAGTGTCTAATTGACACATTTCTAATTTTGAGACAGCCATGTTGTACTCCCTTATAGCACCTTTAATGTTTCTTGAATATAGGTCTTTACCTTTAGCACATAATGCCAAGCAATATTCATAAACAAAAGTGAAATTATTTTGTTCTTCTTGTGGTAATGATTCAAATCTTTTTGCAGCACCTATATTTACAATTTCTAACAGTTCTATTTCAAATAAAACCTCAGTCTCTGGTGGGACTCTTTGAAGACAACCAAGGGCACCATAAGCAAACTTTGGTTGGATCAAAAATTGTGATTTTTCATTAACTTGCATACTTTGCACAGCTATGTCTAATCCAATAATGACTTCACCACAGTTTATAAGAAACTGATGAGGTCTATTTCTGGCATAAGTAGAATCAAAAGGTTCTGCATTGTATTCTATGTAGGCATTATACTGCACACGAACCATTTCCGAATCCTGTGGTTTCGCTCCATATCCTTCCCGAATCACTTTCTTTTTAACTGTCCCATCATTGGTAAGATTCTTCATTTTAGAGGATATGACTTCAAATGGCTGACCTTGAACATATGAATCCTCATCCTGAAAATCTCCTGTTACTTGCATGTTCATAAATTTTAACAAATTGTTCTTATATTCACGTTCCTCTTCAAGATCTACTTCTACAGTTTCATCATTATTGACTGTAAATTCATACCCACCTTCCATTAAGGCCCTAAAATAAAAAAATGCAATCAATACCAGAAAATTTATAAATTTGTTAAAATTGAAACTACCTAAATGTTTTTATCATTTAGTAAATAAAATTAATAAAATTAATTATGGTTATTTGAATAAAAACAAATTTTAATGTTTTAAATACAGCTAACTGTATATAATATCATGGATATATGTGAAATATATCAAAGAGACAAAATAATTGTGGGTTGTACCTAAACTGATCAAAAATCACATTTTTGCAAAAATGATAAATATGCAAAACACAATTACAATTATATAATAAAACTGGTTTTTGGCACTCATCAGCTAGTGGTAGGCTAAGCATCATATACATATTCTTTTTTGTTGATAATAGGAAGCATAGCCTGGTAATAGCTGAACAGGAACAACTGTTTCTTAATTCAATTTTTTTTAAGAATAATAGTTATATGTTGTTTAATAAATAATATCAGAAAAGAATTTACATGTGGCACATTTACTTTATCAAAGATACAACAAATAGTACAGTGATACATAACGAAAAAATTATATGCATGTTTTGTTATGAAACAGTGCTGGTATAGGATATTTAAGACAATATCAGTATTTTTCAATTTGGTTTATGGAATAGAATTTATGGGATAAGAAACAAGAGAGGAGCTACAAACGGAATTAGAAAAACTAAACTATAATATAAGTAAACATAAAAAACGCAACTAAGAACATCAATGGGAAAACATCACAACCAATATAAATAAGGCATCACAAAATGTTCTAGGACAAAAAAGGGGACCAGCAAAGAAAAGTAGGATCACAGACAAAAGAAACTATAAAAGAATTAAAGAAGAATCCAAAATATTTAATAGAAAAATAAAAAAAAAATAAAGAGACACAAAATGTTTGTTGAGAGATTAAAATACTTTTTAGACATGTCTTCATTAAATTTGATAAATACCTCCCTCACCTTAGAATCTGGATCTTAAAATACTACATACTTATGCAGGTGTCTAAGAAGGCTACATAGAATTCCTAATAAGGTAACAGATGTATTCCTAAAAAGTTATGTATAAAGAGAATTATTAGATCTCATTAAGTATTGAAAAATCTCATACTTAGGCCATATTCTACAAAATAACAGACATAACCTCCTAAATATTATTTTGATGAGTAAAGTTGAAAGTCAAAGAGAAACCTTTATAATTCAGAGAGATAAGAAACTGGTTCAGCATACCTGATGTCAATACAATAATATGAGGAGTGGAAGAAGGATCTCTGTACATTTGGCAAGCACCATGAACACATACAAACTACATAGCATATGGCACTCAAAGAAGAAGATACAGATTTATCTGCAGTATTGATCTTGATATAGCACTTTGCATGTTTGATGCTTCATTGATGTAAGACCATACTTAGGTGTAAGTAACAATATGATATGTTAAGTCACACAGTAAAAGATGTGATAAATAATATTGAGTTAGTTTAACAACACAATATTAGTTTTTATAATGTGGTAGAAATGCATTAATAGGAAAAGCTATACAGACCTAAACTGGCATATTCAAGAAATTTAATCAAAGAAGAGAAACTAAAAAGATAGCCTAACAAATTTTTATATAGCAATTATATACAACCACTGGTAATAGTATAAGCATTTGCCTGTATAAAACAGTATGCCATTGAACATTCTAGAAAAGGTTTATACTTCCAAGATCTAAGAATCATTTAGTATATCTATGAACACCAGGTAGCCATAGTGTGGATGAAAACATCTAAATAAAAGCTGTACCAATTATAAGTGTAAAGTCCAATAAGGGTGTGTATTGAACTTATGCTTATTAATATATACTCCTGAGACTATACTCCAGAACATTTTTGAAGGTTCAGAAGATGATATAAAAATAACACATTAGTAAGTAATTTAATATATGCTGATGGCACAGTTAGAATTCCAAACAATTCTGAGGACTTCCAGTGATTTTTTATTAAGATATTAGGGAAATGAAATTGGCTTAAAAATTAAAATAGCAAAAATACATCAGTAATAAACCAGAATCCAAATCAACCAGTACACATATTATATAAAGCACAGATAATCAAAGTTTCTAAGTTCAGGTACATGAATCCTAAATTAGAAATTACAACTCAAAGTGAAATCACCAGAGCAAACTCATTAAAAAGCAAAGCCTAATAGATACATCAACTTGATATATAAATAATTACTATTTTATTGTAAATAAACTGTTTATTGACATTTTAATTTACACCTCGGAAATTGTTCTCAAAATACAAACATTGATAAATTAAACAAATTTTGTTTTTTATTACTTGGTGGAAAATGCTACTAATAATTTAATTTTTACTGAGTTTAAAATGATATTGCCAATATTGCTGTTGCCTTCCTGGAACGACTTTATTGTAAGATGGTTTATTCGCTTACATGAAATCAACTGTAACTTAAGAATATCAGTCAGAAAAAATCCTAGCATATGATTCATCTTTAAAAAGACGACCAAATGCCATGCTGACAGTAAAATTCTCCTGTTGGTGATTGAATGGTAAATCATGAGAAAAAACCAGGAAAAACCCTCATAATACTCTCCCAACTGGTAAGTATTTGGTCATACATTTAGTTTACTCTCAAAACCACCAAATTCCAATTTGATATGTATATTGTTTAAAAAATAATTATGCTAAATGAGAATTGTGTCACAAATTCCTCGGCAGAATGCAGTAGGATCTGGTTACCCATATTAAGGGAAGTTAATACCTCATTTATGTTTTCTAAATAACACATATAAAATCGAAATTTGGTGTTTATTGAGAGTAAACTAAATGTAAGACCAAATATTTACTATTATGAGGTTTTTGAGGAGAATTTTACTGTCACCATGGTATATGGTTATCTTTTTAAATATGAATCACATGCTATGATTTTTCCTGACTGATATTTTTAAGTTAAAGTTGATTTCATTTAATCAAATGAACTATCTTACAATAAAGTCATCATATCAACACAACTCAGTTGTATTGGCAATATCATTTTAAAGTTGTCTACTTTAAAATATATAATATATGTAATATATATAAATTAAATTATTATAAGAATTTTTCATTAAGAAACAAAAAACAAAATTTGTTTAATTTATTAAGGTTTGTATTTTGAGAATAATTTCCGAAGTGGAAATTGAAATGTTAATAAACTTATTTTAAACTTTAATTGTAACTTATTCCCATTAAAATAGTAACTACTTTAAGATGCCACAATAATTCTACACTTTTGTTGTTGTAGAATATATCTAACAGAGACCAGATCAGTAAAAGTTAGCAATTTGAACAGACTAAAATCATTTGAAACATAATTATATCAATGAATATTATCAATATATTGGACTATCGAAACTACTAACTTAAAGGTTGTGAGGTTACAAATGAGCAGAGAGGAGTAAAACAGAGAAAAATTTGCCAAAATATACAAGGAAGAAATGAGAAAAGAACAGTCATATCAATTGAATGGCACAGAACAGAGAACTTATAATAGCCGGGGATAAGTTGTGTGGTTCAAATATGAAAAAGGAAACCTACAAGTCATATCGTTAGAAGAAAAAGAAACAAGTGACGAAATTGAAAACAAAGAAATACTGTATGCATTAAAGTACACAAAACGGAAACAGTCCTGTGCCAGATCAACTGCCTATCAACATTGTTAAGAATCTATAGCATGAGACATACTTAATGAATGATTAAACTTAACATTCATTTTCCCAAAAAGGAACCCTAGGGAATGTAACGACTACTGCACCATAAGTATGACATCTATTAATCCAGAAATGCTTGGATGTTAACCAAAATATGTATGTCTGTTTCAAAAAGATCTTATGAAGGGATTATGAGTTGCATAACTCCTGTGAGTAAACCTTTGTTGAAAATCACCATCATACAAAATAACACTCAAAGAATAGAAACTGGTATTGTGGATATAATTAAAAAGATATTTATGATCCAATGGGACTTAACTGAATATATAGATATCTGGCAAATAAACTAACAAAACTATAAATATGAAGGACATAACAAGGGGTAGATGATAAATAAAACATATCACAACTTGGTTGCTACAAGCCCAAAACAGAAATAGGGATCAAAAATGAATATGGATAGGTATATGAAGATCGTAAACTGGTAATAATAAATTAATATAAATTAGTTAATTTATAGTTGACTTAGTTTTAAGATAAACTTCTTAAGAAAACCATCTCTACTGGTTTGTCTATGTTAAAAATACTTTGATAATAATTGTTGTTAATATTTAGAGAACGAACTTAGTAAATACTATAAATGGTTTAGTTCGTTTTGGTATATAACTAGCTATCACTAATCATACAAGACAAATGTAATTGCAAAAATACTTCATTCTACCGGGACATGAAAACGTGTTGAGGTTGTAGGTATTTAAAAAAACACCTATATATTAACAATGAAACTTACTTCAGATTAACTGGTTCCTGTATAATAGGCATGGTGATTAATAATCAATACTGTAGCAGTCTAAAAGTACTTTCTGACAAAATTTATTTTGCAGAAGAGGATAAGCTAGGCACTCCACTCTAATAAAAACAAACTAATATTGATTTGAAGGTTGACTTGTGACATGAGCGTCGATGAAATAATTTCCTGTAAGAAAATCCCATTTGTAATTTTAAAACTTCGGCTTATTTCTAGTAGGTGGTGCTGCACGCGTTGGAAGGTTTTCCATTTATAGTTTACTACAATTTTCAATTTAGTTAAAGACAAATTAACATGTAACGTTAATTTTTATTAACAATAACAAGTTTGGAAAATTTTGTCAATATGTAAATAATAATATCAGATTGAAGGAATATTACACCATTCTAGATCCTGCAGTTGTAAAATACTTAGGTACATTGTATAAGAGAAAATTGGGATTAAACTAAAAACTAAGACAAAAATTGGGTAATTGCCACTTTACGCAAAAAGATGATACACTTAATTTAGTACATAACGTATCAACGTGCCTTTCTAAGTTCTGGTATAAGTATATAAGATGAGTAATAAATAATTTGTCAAATATTAAAAATTCTATTCAGAAACCTAAAAATACTTACTTAGGATTTTACATTTTTTAATGATAAAAATAAATGAGTACCTAATAAATATACGAGAACAAGAAAATTGCTGTGGTAAATTTAAATTGGTTGAAAGCATTTTTACACATTTCCCATTCCTTTATTCCTAATAAAAATAGTAAATGATTTTATAGATATTTATTAGTAGTATTTTACGAATTACAACTAAAATTTTCTAAAGCTATTTTCTTGTGGCATTTTAAAGTAATTACTATTTAAATGGGAATAAGCCACATTTAAAATTTAAAGATAGTTTATTGACGTTTCAATTTCCACTTCGGAAATCGTTCTCAAAATAAACAAATAAAATTTTCATAAATAGGCAGGTACCTACATTGTTTTTTACATATAAGTAGCTATGATTAATTTGTGCAGTTTAATTATTAGTTTAGTTATAAAAATAAAGTTAACATTTTTTATGGAACTGTTTAAAAAGAATATGAAAGAATCATACTAAGCCTATAATTAGGATCAATCGGCCGAAATAAGAATCAATAAAGACTTGTCAAAAAAGGTCTCAATTAAAAAGGGAGTTCACTATTAAGTAGGATCAATCGGCCGAGATAAGAATCAATAGCGACTTGTCAAAAAAGATTTCAATTATTAAAAAGGAAGTTCTCTGCCTCTCTCTTGCTCTGCATTTTACTATATAGGGATTGTTTCGGCAATCTTTTGATCTCCATTCTCATCTTCATGACCAGCTCATCGAAGTCTCTGAAGTTTAAGTTTGAGATCGGTGTCTCTTTGAATATTTGGTAGAATTCACGGTTGTATAGATCCATAGTAAGACGAAGAATTTCCTGGCTAAGAAACTTGAGAGAGTGGTACAGTTGTAGCTCAGTAGATCTTTTCATAGCAGCCGTCAATAAGGTACGTATGGCTGTGATGATAGCCAACCTTCGATATGAGAAGGATATAAAAGAAGAAGAATAGTTGTACCTGGATCTTCATACTCCGTTTTCGGTAATAGGTTCAAATATCTTCCTTAGGACTCTTTTTTCAAATACCTTGGCAGGATAATTAATGAAACAACTGTCGGCATTCGAAATGTAGATATATAGAAGAATTTTCCTAATATCCTGGACAGACCATATAGCGAACAGGGAAGTACTGGAAATAATGGGTAATCAACGGGAAATTACGTTGAAAAAAATAGAAAACTAGAATATTTCGGTAATATTGCGAGACACAGTAAATAACGTCTTCAGCAACACATTATCCAGAGAAAAGTCTTAAATGGAGGGGTTCGGATAGAAGAAAAAACTGTTAAATGTAAAAGCAAGTGGTTTGCATTGTTATGTTAATAGCCAACATCCTCAAGGAAATAGCAATGTGAAGGAGAAGAAATATTCACCGAAATTTTTTTGACTATATTTGAAATAACTAATAATGATAATTCTAGATCCTACACATACTTTTATTTTATTTATTTTGGGTCATATTAATATTGTTTTTTTTGCAGTTTAAATTTACCAATGATTAAATAGTTTTTTTTACAAATGAATTATGTTTTAAAATATTAATCTAATGAATACATTGATTATAATATTTCTTTTTTGTAGTACCTACTCTAATAAATAAATGAACAATATCTACATAAATAATACCTACAATATTAAAAATATTTAACACAACTTTATTTTTGTTTGCAGGGAGTTTCCTTCTCCTTAGGCCTACTCTCAAGGCAACAGAATTCCACGTACATAGCCCTCCTTTTGCGCCCACGGTTTCGTCTTGCAAATTTGCAGTTTCCATTTATCAAGAAAAAATGGAAGGTGGTATGATCCGTATTGTCGGAAGCAAAGCAGAGGAGAACACGCAATGGCTACTGAAAAGTATTGATGGAGATAACTCCAAACGGTGGCGTAGATACGAAATGTCAGTGGGAAAGATATCCAAAAATTTTACAATTATTTTAGAAGCTGTTCCTTCCGAGAATTTAGAGGAAGGTGCTGTTGTGGCGTTTGATAATATTCAATTATTTCAATGTTACCATAAAAATGATGATTCGTGTTCATCACTTCAATATAAATGTAAAGCAACGAAAATTTGTATTAACAGTACTAGTATTTGTGATATTACTAGGGATTGTTTGCATGGAGACGATGAAGCACAGAATTGCGGTAAGTTGTAAACTATTTAATAGATTTAATGCACATTACAGATTATTATAAAGATTTTTTAGTTAATAATATGTTAATAAATTGATTATCTATATTTATTACATACAATAAGGCGGCTGGCAGCGTTTGCGTTTGAGCGGTATAAAAACTACTAATCAAAATTTTTTCATGTAAATTTGAGATAATCTGAGTCACGATCTCTAAGCGATTTATACTCAATTTGGAAATGCAAGATAGTATATCTAATGTTTATGTGAGAAGATTACAACGGCCTTTATACAGAACTGCTCAAAGATGAAAAATTATAAATATCGATATCTCTGTGTCTCAGTTTTCTATTAAAAATTTATAAAAAGTTACTCCAAAAAAATCAATATGAATTTGAATGCGATACTACAACATAAAATGCAAATGCTTAAGCCGTCCAGGCTTAGTTCAGAATTGCACGCTTCTAAATGCAATGCTTCTTCAGAGAAACAGCTAAATGTCAATAAGCACATACATTCATTCTTTTTCTTCGGCTTTAAGTAATCCAACTTTGGACATAAGCCTTCCCCAAATCAACCCAGTGTCTTCTATTTTGCGCCACTTGCTTCCAGTTGTGTCCTCCGACCTTCTTAATAACATCCGCTCATCTCACTCGTGGTCTTCCTTTGCTTCTTTTTCCCAACCATGGTCTTCATTGTTGTATTTCGTGGTTCCATATCTTATCCTCCAGTCCTCCAGTTTCTCTATTTTAATTTTGCAGCATGTTCTCCTGCGTCTTTTACTTTGGTTTTGCTTCTAACCCATTTGTTTAGATTATTTTAGGCTTTCCTAAGTTTAATCTTAAGCATTTCAGGCCTCGGTTCTTTTCTATTATCTTTTCTTCCTTGTTTTTATTATAGATCCTTAAATCTTCCTTTTCATTCCTTTCATCAACCGTTTTATTCCTTCACTTACTCGGTCTTCTTTAGTTTTCGTTTTCTTTGCAACAGTCGGTCCTGTTTTCAAGAGCTTTAGTTGCATTTCTTTATTAATTGTGTTCATGTCGGAATATTCTTGTTGATAATATTCTACAAATTCTTTTCTTAAGACTTCTCTGTACTCATCTCCCTTCTGTCGTATTTTAGTTTAATGTATCTGATTACAATAATTATGTGGCCTATTTCTACTAGTTTTCGTCTGTAAGAATCCTTGCTCTTAAATGGCGATAATCGCTGCCAGTTGTGAATCGATTGAGAGTAGTTATATCTTCAAAAATGTCTTTGTTCCTACACAAGAAGTCATCGATCTCGTTTTTCGTCTTTTTTTCGGGAGATATCCACATCTATTTTCGGTTTGCTGGTTTTTTGAAGTGTGTGTTCATGTCATATAAATTTTGATGTTCTAAAAAGTTATATAATTTTTTTCCTCTTTTATTTCGTGTGTTATCACCATAAATCCCTATTTTGGTTTCAGTATTTTCTTCTTTTTTACCTAATTTTGCCTTAAAATCTCCCATAATGATGGTATACTTTGTATCATTTTCTTATACTACTGTTATGAAATCTTCGTAGAACATTTCAACTACCTCTTCCTGATGTGTTGTGGGAGCATACACTTAGATATCCTTGATCTTGGTTTTATAATTTAGGTCTATTATAATATAAGCTACTCTATCAGAAACGCTTTTATATGTAGAAATGTATGTTGTGAGATACTTTTTGACAAGAAATCCTACTGCACCATATGTATATAGCTGTATAGTATAAGCGATTTCCATAGTTTAGATGCATGCATTGTTCGCCTCTTCTTTTCACTTCTGGCAGTCCTACAATATCCGACTTTTTCTTGGATAGTTCTTCTTCTAGTTCGTAGACCTTTTCATCTTTAGCCATATATTGGATGTTGTATGTGGCTAGTAGTAACTGTTTTTGTGTGTTCCTATCTATTTTGGGGCGTTTTGTTGAGCTTGTGCCTCCCCCAAAATCCGTGAAGCTGACCGGTTTTCCGGTGTGGGATTCTCAGCTGCTAGCTCTACCCACCTTTCTTTTTTTTTGGACTGAGTTGGAAAGATTCGTAAAATCGACTAGGGAAGGTGTCCCTAGTACTGTTGGATTCAACCAAAAGGACCAGAGACATACGCCGACGGCACGATGTCAAAACTATGTGACAGAGGGCCCCCTTCGGACATCCCTGCCAGGTCGCCTACCAACTAAAACCACCCCCTCTTCGACCCGTGGTATTCATGGACGAGTTCATTAGCGAACGAACCATGGGGATACCACGCGCAGACTGGGTTAAAGGTGCCCTTAGGTCTATATATTTTAGTTACAGCACTTACCAAAAAGCAGTAAGCGTGTAGGGAAGGAGACCTAGTTCCCAAGCGGAGAAACTTGAGAGCTTAAAAAAGAGGGTTACCGTAAAGGGTAACATTTGGTACATTTGGTACAGAAAAGAAAAAGAAAGAAATAAAAAAATAATGTTTATGTTTTTTTTTATTATTTATTTTTGTATTTGACCCCTCACCCAGCTTGTTCGGCTCTTTCTATTATAGTTCTCCTTTTCATGATACCTGTTATATGGTTGATTATATATTCAAAATTCTCTTTGCTGGTCATTGCAATCTCCATGATATTGTTGGGCGCGATCGCGCCGAATCTATTCTGCAGCCTTTGTTGTTCGTAGGCGAAAATATTACACCGGAAGATGCAATGTTCCGCATCGTCCCTCTCATCACACGAGGTGCATATGTCATCGTTGGTTTTTTTTGATGCCATATGTGTCAGATCTGAAAGATCCATGACCGGTCAGGAACTGAGTAAAATAGTAATTTACTCTTTTAAATATAGAGTTGTACCATGCTACAACATCGGGGATAAGCGTTTTGGTACAACGAGCCTTCGTGGTCTATACCTCCCATTCTCTTTGCCATTCTATAAGCATGTTTACTCGTATGGTCCTTCTTACCTGAGGAAGGTGACCGTCCTGGGCTTCATACAGCATTTGTCTTTCTTTGACAAGCAGGTGGATGGGGAGCGTTGCCGCAATGACCTGTAAGGACAGCGTAGAAGTGGTTCGGTACGCGCTTACCACTTTTAAAAGGGGCTTCTTTTGGGCTCTTGTTATAATATCTTTGTACTTCTGGTATTTTAGTACGTTAATCCAAACGGGAGTTCCATATAGAAGGGTCGATTGCACTACTTGAAGGTACAATTTTCTGTTGTTGCTGCTGGGCCCACCTATGTTGGGTATTATTCTTTGGATAGCTGCCGACCGTTTATCCGCCTTCTTAACCACTCCTAACAGGTGTTTCGTATACCTCAGGCCTCTGTCCAGGTAGATGCCTAAATACCTTGCACAGTTCGTCGGCTCTAATTCGCTATTGCCTATTTGGAAGGTCAGGTCCACCTGCTCTACCCACCTGGGGTATCGTCCCATTTTGTTTTAAGTTTAACATGTTATGTTTTGAGGGGTATATTGGCATTAAAACACCACGCTTGGCGGATGGGTTGGTGAGTGTTTGCAATATCACGCCGGTTAAATGAGTATTTGATTTTCGCCTGCGACTTTGTGGAACCGCACCTGTCAGGAATTGTATTCCTTTGCCACGAGCTACTAATAATACAGCTGTTGATCTGTGTCATATCCTCCGTTGATCCGAGGGTACTTATTTGGCGAAGCCTTATTCATATCTGTCCTGCATATCTACAGGAACATTCCCTATCAGTTATTGGGACGCGCCGTGTCGGGGTTGAGGACTTCCCCTCCCAGTCTGTCTTGGACAAAGTACTGAAGGACCCCTACTCAGTTCAGCGACCCTCGTCTACACAAGCTAAGACCGGCACCGCCATACATTAATTATGTACCAAAATTTATTGAATATCGTCCTCTTCAGATAATATAAAATCATTATCATCATTACGTCCATAATTTCTTTAAGAAATTATAATTGGATCTATTGTTTTTTCCTTTAATCGTGTCGAGTTATCAGTTAGTTCAATAGGGTATTTACTTGGTAAATACCCTATGCCTTGGGTGAACTGCCCGAGATCTTTACAGTCGAAAAAGGAGTTAGACAGGGTTGTATATTGCACCGGTATTATTATCGCCTAAATTACAATTAATGATACACCGTTAGAAAGAGTGGAAAAAATATGCTATTTGAGCTGCAAGATTAAGGACACTTGGGATCCTTTAATCCTGTTGAAAAAGCCAGAAGCTCTTTTAACAGCCTTAGGAAGATTATCTTCAACTTATCTTTAAGTATCAATATACGCATAAAAATTCTTAGATGTTCCGTCTTCAGTTCCTCTATGGAGCAGAAAGCTGGAGCCTTACAGAAGATGCCATAAAACGATTGGAGGCATTTGAAATGTGGTGCTACCGACGTATGTTGTGGGTCTCATATGTACACCACACAAGTGACATAACTATTATACAAAGGCTAAGAAAAAACAAATAAATTATTAACACCATAAAAAGCCGAAAATTTGCTTACTTTGGTCACATCATGCGTAATGATAAATACAGACTTCTAAGGTTGATTTTACAGAGCAAGATTAAGGGGAAAAGAGGCTCTGGACGTAGACGTATATATTCTGGCTGGTCAATCTTAGGAAATGGACTGGTCAACTGATCTATTTCGAGCTGTTGTGAATAGAATAAGATAGGTCAATGTGGACACCACTATCTCTAGAAGATAGGCACATTTAGAAGAATAATAAGCTGGCAATTCCTTCTTCTACAATTATTTCTTTGCGTATTAATTAACCTAAGAGGTTTCGTTTACTGTCAGGTAATGGTTCCTTTAACATTGAATTGTAATCGACATAACTACAACATATTTTATCGAATAGGAAATGTATCATTTAACCAAAATATTCTTCGAAAACATCAGAACGATATGAACAAACATTTCTCTATAGTAATCTGTCGTAGAATTTGAAAAATTTTTAAAAAAACTTTAATCAATACATCCTTTATATCCGCTAATATTATAATAAATGATAATCAAACCAATAGCTTAATCAGTTAAT